GAATATTTGAGGTGGGCGGGTTGGACAGGCAGAGGGTGCATCGCACTGCATTAACCCGCCTTTTAGTATCATACCATGGACAGGGCTAGAGTGCCACATGTTACATCCAAGTTCATCCCCAAACCTTTTACTTCCTGAGGTAGAACAGCAAATCTCTGCATAACCCACGCTAACCAAGTTATTTTGTAGAAGATCTGTCAATCACCTCTCTCCTTCTCCAGTGATGAAGATGCAGTCTGGGCAAAACAGATGCAGTAAGTCAGACTTGCTGCCGTTTTGTGACACCCCTAAACCTGCTGCCTGAGGAAGCTCTTTCTTTTCCCTGGGTGCCTCCAAAGGCTTTTGCAAAGCCATCTGCTAGAGGGGAGGTGCTGAAGAACTTGGTCCTGGCCACTAGGCCTTCACCTCTGAATACTGTATATCAGGAAAATGGTGGGAAAGCTTGGCATAAGAGGGAATCAACTTGAGAGTTTGGAATTATTATTATTAGAGGAAAAGAATATCAATCTGGCCTGGAATTTGCATTCTTGCCAATGGAATCCTGGACTGCCTCAAAGAAATGTCAGGTAAAGTAGTGCCTAGAGCCACACTCTTGAGTACAAACCCATATAGAGAGCTTGGGAAAATTGCTCCTTTTTGGACTTCAGCTCTCAGAATCCCCCGGCCAGCGTGGTCACCAGTCATTCTGGCTGTAGGAGTCTGGGAGCTGTAGTTCGAAAAGTGACTTTTTGAAGGTTTGCCTGCGCCTCTGCCTTCAGAGATATCCTTCGACTGTATTACATGGGCAGGAAAGTGTAGGCTGGAGAGAGACCTTACATACTCCTGGTGGTCTGACAAATTTGCACATGCAGTATTGATTCTTTTCTTCTCCTCTTTTTGCTAACCGTATCCAGCCCTTCCATCTCTCAACCACAAACTCCTGCATATATAGTTTGTAGCATAGATCTCCACAACGTGCATTTTTAAATTTCTAACAAATCTTGTTCAGTTGAAGTCAGTGATTATTATGAATTTCAAGGGAAGTGGATTGAGTTCAAAGCTGTAATGCTACATGGTAGACCCAGGGTTCGTTCTGGGTGCCCATTAAGGACTCTGTGTTACGTCCTACATTGTATCTTGGCAACCTCTCAGATGCCACGATCTGCAAAGTAGTTTTTGTGCAGTATTTACTTTGACATAGTACAGGGTGCAGAAGTTATATGCAGGAGTAAATTTGCAGCTCTGATGAAGTAGCTGTTTCTTGTGAACCTCTGCCAAATGAAATTGTAGCAGATAAAATATGCTGTACTTAGTGTTGCAGTTGCATGACCACTCAATCTATAGTATAAAAGTCTGTTTCCTCTGTGGAAACAGAAGATTATGATGCTATCTTAGGTTCAGATTCAGAGGGCTGGGAAAAGGTACATTTCATATTGGGAAATGCTTTGTGTATATAGGTACCTGGGTAAAGTGGTAGGAAGCTGTAATGTCTTACACTTTGAAGTGAACAAAGGTAAAGTTATAAATCTAACACACATACAGTATTTTACCCTCTCATCTTGATTTTGTGTAGACATTTTCACAAAGCCCTTGGTACTGTATCTAGGCAGGTCTGTCAAATCTTTTCCAGCTCAGAGACCCAGTGGAGCCCATCTGGTATGGCATACACAGAAACTTTTTTTAAGAATCTGCTTTTAAGGAAAATGCATTTTGTTTCTCTCTCTCTCTCTCGCTCTGGTCTTTTAAATAATTAAGTCCAGATTTCTTTGACTAGGAAGTGGAGAATGTACTGTACAAGGATTCCTTCTCCTGGTTCACTGCTTTTCTGTGCTCGGTGGGAGGGCAGAGATATCATGCATAGCCAAAGCTGTGGCCCCATCATCCTCTGCCTCTGTAGGGAGGGAAGAGGCAATCATGGGGGAGGGCAGGAGGAGACCCTAGTGGGTGGGCTGCTGACTCTGGTACTGACTGTCAAAGGACAGGGGTATAAGGACTCTTTTCATTCCTGGAAAGAGACGAGTTGATTACTGCCCCTCAATCAAAACCTGTTTACTTTACCAAATGAGACCAGCATGTGAGCTTGTTAATTGCAGTTGGACTGGTTCCTTTTAACGGCCCCTCCAACCAGACTGGGCAGTTCTGATGCTCCAGTGGGAGAGAGAGAAGCAATGGCCCTGGATACCATTCAGTTAATCCGAACCAAGAACCAAGCATGTATCAGATTCTGACAACATCATGGTTTGGTCCTCCTGAAATCACTTAGATATGCATTCTTGATTTGTTCTTTGTGCCATCTCAAGTTCTCTATGCAGACAGATTCAGAAAGGTTGCTGCGATACAGAGTTGAACCTTACCCACTGACTGGCTCAGTGTCTGGATACCTGTGCGCCCAAAGGAAAAGACTTCTTTTCAAACGTTTCTTTCATCCCAAATACATACACATTCTTTATAGCACATACTGTAGTTATTTTCTTCTTTCTTCCTCTGCATTCTTGACGGTGAGGAATATTTTAGGAAAGCTGACAGTAGTTCAGGGCTGGAAGCTCACAATGAAGCCCAGAGAGATGCAACATGAGCCTTACGTTAGTCCAAGTGATTAGCTAAAGGTAGTTCTGAAACATCATGGTTTGCCAGAGGATGCTCAATACTGGGCAGAGTATAAAGTTGGTGTGTAAGACTGGAAGACTGCAAACAAACAGAAGGTTAATCCAGACAAGACAGAAGTGTCTCTGGTCAGTAAAATGATATTTGGGCTGTGCTGGGTGTAAGGTTCCCTCTAAGCTGGGTGCATGAGCCTCTGCCTCCCTCTGCACAGCTGTCTTCCCCCTCCGCACAACAGTCGTGTTAGGTTCCAGTCATGACAGAACCCTGCATGCAGGGGTGCAGAGTCACGCATGCGCAGGAGCAAAGTCACTCAAGAGAGAGGCAGAGCCCCACCCATCATACGTTGGCTGCATGTAATTAAAATCCACCTTGAAGACTCAGGTTGACAGTTTGGGTGTAATCCAAATTTAGCTCTGAATTTAGATGCCCATCCTTCACGAGTGCCTGGGGGTGCATTAGCACAACAGCTGGGCTATGGCATCAACTGTATACATCCTGGAATGGTTCGATTTGACCGAAGGCTGCTTTCAGGCTCCAGGGTTTCCTCCAGGAGAGGGCTGGACTCCCCCCTCTTCCCCCTGTTGTCGTGCTGTTAGCAGACAAAGATACTGTTAATCAGACAGACCCTTGGCATTTAAGCTGTGTTGTTCCTGGAGAAGGTTGCATTGGTTATATGCTGTTACTTCTTTCTGTGGCTGTGTTCTGAAAGCATTTAATGCTTGAATTCTATCTCTGTTTTTATTCCAATGTTGTCATTGCTGCATTGAGTGCCATTTTTTTTGCAGAAAGTTGTCATTGCTGCATTGAGTGCCATTTTTTGCAGAAAGGCAAGCAAGCAGACAGACAGATAGATCAATGGGTTTGAAATCCAAAATTCTTTGTACCCCAGCATCCTGTGCAGGTTGGCCCTCAGTAATCATAGAGTAGGACTTGATTGTGCATGGTTGCTCATGCGGCTTTTTAAGTCTGGGTTCATTCATATAGAGAAATGGAACATGTAAACCACTTGGTAACAGGTATGGTTTTGTCTATTATTTAAAATGGTGCTTTGTTAGTTTTGCAGATCCAGTGGCTCTCTGCCACTAGCTCTCGACTGCAGGGTAATGACCAAGGCTGGAAGACACACTTGTGCTCCAAATGCTTCATTATGAACTCATTATGACTAGACTTTATTCCTGAAGGGAATAATGAGTCTGATCTCTTCTTTGTGTACTGCTGTGCCAGTAACTACCTGAAGACATGTCACCAACTTCTCATAGTCCCTGAGGGGCCTCACAGCATGCAAGCAGAGAAGGAGGAAAGGTACTGGGGAAAGCCCGGCACCATCTCTTAAAGCTGCTGATGTGCTCCTTGTGTGGAACTGGAAAGCCAGCTGTGCAGCTGCGCAGTTTATGGTGTTTCCTATCAGACATGTGGATGGACCATCATGGACAGAAGCAATTTGTGTTTCTTGACTGTGGGGCTCAGCTGTGCTGTAATAACATCCTTTCTCCCTTGCCACCCAGGTATTCTCTCATCTGGTCTGTTTATTTGTTCAACTGGAATTCAGTTGACTGACTAGGACTGCGTACTAGAAAACAGGCAAGCCAACTTCTTAAAATCTTAGCTTTCAGATAGACTGGACTCAAACTGTCTTAATTGTTCGCCAGTCTATTGACCAGGGTCCAGGCTATCTGAAGGACCATATAGTCTAATTCAACCCTGTGCGGGTTCTGAGATTTTTAGAGGAGGCCCCTTTTTCAGAGGCACATGTGGTGGGGTTGCAGGAGAGGGTTTTCTTGATCACTACTTCCAGACTAGCCTATTCTAAAATTCCCTTCCAGAATAGGCTGGTCTGGGTTCATTCATATAGAGAAATAGAAAGTCCGCTCTGCTGTTGTCCTGTGAGGTACATGCATATTTTATTCCAGCAGTAAAGAGGTAGTTGACTGGCTAGGAAATTGATCGATCGATTGATTGATTGATTGATTGATTGATTTAATATCACACCTATCTGGTCATTGCGACCACTCTAGGCAGCTTCCTAATACATTTATTTGGACTTTGGGCTTTGAAAGATGTTCTGTGCTACTTTTTAGAATGGATATGTTTCAGTTGCTTTTAAACCAATAGTGTTTTAATCTTATAATTAGTTTAATTGCTAACATAATAAACCTGTTGGTTTGTTTTATCTGCACACCACCCACCGCCACTACGCCTGTCTCTTTTGATTTTGTTGTGAGCCATTTTGGATGCCCGTTTGGGGGGGGGGAAGCTGGATCTATATAAAATAAATATTTAAATATTTTAAAACACACATTTCCCCTCCCAAATTTGGTCTTCTGGATTTTTAGGAGGCAGAACATATCAGTTGTCCAAATCTTGTAGCATATAATAATAATACTGTTTCCTTTTCTTTTTTCCCCTTCCTCTGCTAGATTGCCTAAGCGTTCTCCCTGGATTTGGGGTCCTTCGCGCTTCTCATCATGCCCTTGGTTGGTTTTTTGCTTTGGGCCATCCTGCTAATTGTGGGCTGGTGGCCCTCCTACTCCAAGGATTACCTGTTTGCTACTCCACGAGTGCAGCTCACTTTTAAAGGTAAGGTCGAGTGTTTCTGTGAAGACAAGCATTATCATACAGTATGGTGGTGGTGATTTCTCTTTGGCCAGCTATAACCTCTGTATCCAGAATATGTCTCAGAATGTATCCAGTTTGAGATCTGATGGTTTTAATTCTATTTTAATTTCACAGGGCATTCCCTGCCATTAGGCAGAGTAGAGCAGCTGCCTTGGGTGGCAGATTGGAGGTGTTGTGCAAAGGCATCAACTGCTTTTTATTGATTTTTTTTTTTACTCTTAGGGAGAGGCGATTTTTTATTTTATTCTGGCTCACGTGCCAGTATGACTGGGCGGACTTTCGGAGCAGACAGCACCATTGCCGCTTTGCCCAAGCAGAGTTGAGCCAGCCTTGCAAATTAATCCGAATGGCTACTCTCAGTCTTTTGGAGGGAGCCACTCTCGACGGCACAGATCTTAGCTGTGATTATTATGAACAAGACTTTTCAGGGACAGGTTCTAAGAAGCCGCTGGGCTGGCAGCCTGCATCAATCAAGCGCATGGATGCGTTGCGCTTCAGTGTCTCTCTCCATCTGGAGAGGACTGGCCTTGCAGCTTGTTGCATCTCTTTGGATTTCGTAGAGTCAAGCACTGTAAGCTGGCGGTACAGACAGCAGATGGACAGCTCAGGGAACCCAAGCTGCTATGTGTGCCCAGGAATTGGCACACGGACTCCCTAGGCAGGGGCTGCTGCACTGCAAGGGGTCCTCCTCCTACCCAGCTAGTAGAGGCAGGTGTCCAGAGGGCTGCAGGGCTGGTGTGTGGCAAGGACTGCCCTTGGAAGAGGATGCACTGAGTTACCAAATCAGACTGAAAGGGAGGAGGTCGGCATTGTGGCATCAACATGTGACTATCCATGGGGAATGAATTTAGGTTGTGGCTTAGGTGCCTGTTGTGCCTAAACTCCTTTCCACTGGTCCCAGGAGATAAACTAACGTGACGCTCAGTCTGCAGCCTCCCTGCCGGCCAGGAGCAACTGTGCATGCAGAAGCCTCTGTTTACATGACACTTCCTTTTGATTTTTGCCACATGGATTTCTCATGTGTCACAGGAGGAAAACGGTAAGAAAAGATATGAAGGCGGAGAGACCGTTTCCCTCTGAATAGCTGCCTGCTTGTGTGGCTTACTGTGCACAGTTGTTGTTATTGTTGTAGGTGGTAGTGGTTTGGGAAGGAAGGTTGGGATTGGGCAGTTTTTGTTGCGCTGGCTACAAAATTGTTATTTGTGTATTGCTCTTGGCCTTCATGTCAGTGTGTGTGTGTTTGTGTGCGTGCTCATTTAAGAGCCAGCATCTTTTTTGAGATTCCTTGATGGAGGTTATAAGGAACTGTGTAGATGCTCACCTTGCAACTTTGTGGCTATTTTTGTTCCTTTGGTGTTCTTTTTAGTAGACTTCTGTAATACTCCCTTGCTAACAGGATGTGGGGGCTGGCAGTGGCAAGAGAAGATTGCTTAGTAAGGGCAGGGAGTGGGGAGGGAGAGAGAGAGAGAGAGAGCACAGGCTCATTGTTCAGTTCAGCCAAAGAGCACAACCTCTGGTGTCCATGAGCTGCAACTGCAACCAATTGGTGGGTAATACCACTTTAGGCCTGAAACCACAGAGATGACGAAAGAAAACTGATTTATAGGTATTTGAAGCACGCATCACTTGCATCACTCATACTTCACCCTGGAAGAGAAATGAAGAGAAATCTCCAGGCTAATAGAAGACTGTTGTGATGGTAAGAGCTTAGAAGAGTTACTTGTAGGGCTCCAGTTCCCAGAATCCCCCAGTCAGCATGGTCATTGGGAGATTTTGGGAGTTGTAATCCATTAAAGTAACTTTTCCCAAGCTGAACTAGTTAATCTAGTTATCTATGCAAGTGTAGGGATAATGATGCTGAGCTACCTTTTTGGATTGTTTTAAAGATTATAGTTAAGGGGATATGCTCTCTGGCATACGAAACACTTAACATACCAGAAAGGACTATGCAAATGTTTTGTGTTGCTATTATATTACTCTAAGCAGAACTTGTTCATCATTGCAGATTCCTGAATATGAAGGAATTGGCCTACCCCTATTCTCTGCAATGTAACCAAATGCAAAGGAACAATTAAAAAAATTTCTGCTAGTTACTCTACAAGAGATGGAATTTGCACCTTGTCATTCAAGGATGACTGAATACAAAAAGAACAGGCAGCCAGTCCATCTTCTGTGCTTTTCCTTTTCCTCTTTTTTTTTCATTTAATCATGCCAGTAATAAACATTTCAGTTGATTTAGGTGCTATTTGGATTTGCTGAGATGTGACAGACTCAGTAATAAACATTTCAGTTGATTTAGGTGGTATTTGGATTTGCTGAGATGTGACAAATGGTGTAAAAGAGGAATTATGTTATCTCATTAACAAGGACTTACACAGGATACCCATTGTCGTGTAGTAGGCAGAGCAACGGGACCAGGGTTCAAATCCCTGCTCAGCCACAGAAACTCACTGAGGGAGTGGAACTAGTAAAGCCACTCTTCAAATATCTCACTTACCTTGAAAACCCTATTAGGGTTGCTATATGTTGGTTCTGACTTGAAGGCACATAACAACACCAACACATGTATTAGGGAATCTGTTGCAGAACCTCTTCCTCCGGTTTGTGTCCAGATAAGAACACATGGATAGGTGCCTGAGCCATCTGTGCCCTTTGGTGACATTGTGACAAAGCCCTTATCCAGGTCTATGGTGGTATTTATATGTTTCCAGATATCTGAGAAAAAACAGGGTGGGGAAATGCAAACAGGTTATAGCCTATTATTGGGGCAGGGGGTGGAACTGCACAGCACCATCAGTTTTAAGGACATGGTAGACAGAAAGGTTCTACTTCTGCCTGTGGGAACCATCACAAAGAGGGGGGGGAAAGATAGAATGGAGACAAAAAAGAANTGTAGAGCAGTGGTCCTCAACCTTGGGCCTCCAGATGTTCTTGGACTGCAACTCCCAGAAGCCTTCACCACCACCTCTGCTGGCCAGGATTTCTGGGAGTTGAAGTCCAAGAACATCTGGAGGCCCAAGGTTGAGGACCACTGCTCTAGAGCACCAATTCTGACCCAGCCAATTAAAGTCCATACGAATGAAGGCATTCTTCTGTTCTCACACAATCAATCCGTGTTGTTAACTAAGCAAGATGAGAAGAAAAAAGAAAAATTATAGTTAACAAAGATGATGGTACAAATATTGCACTTCACTCTTCATCTATATGAAATCGTTGGAAGGGGATCCCCTGGCTCCAAGGAGATCTGTAGCACACAGTGACCTTGTTCTGAGCCCTCCCTAGTGCCTCAATGACTGGAGTATCCAGAATAGATCTTGGGCTTTATTGGAAGGTTCAGTTGTCGCTCACTTTCTCTTTTGGCACCAAGAACTGTCTTTTTGGTGGCATTTCAGATCACTGGGCATCTTTTAGTTAAAGCTTTTAACTTCACAAGTGCTGGATGGAACATCAAGATCCTGTGAGAGGTGTTGCTTTGCTCCATGGGTGTCTAATGGCTCATTGATCCATCTTATAGTCACCTTGGAATTGCACAAATTCCCCATTTTGCTCAGTTTTTGGAAGATAGTACACATTCATGACTTGTCCTGGTCCTTCTTGACCTGTGTAATTTATTCTGTGAAATACCTTAATCACTCTTAGTAAATCTGAATTATTAGCCTGAGTTTGTCCTAATTATATGTTATCCAGAAATGTTAGTTGTCTGTGAAATTCATGCTGTTTAGTCCTATGCAATATGCATGGCCGACTAACCTGATTAAAGGCCACCTTCCACATATGGGGACTCATCCATGGCTTGATGTCTGTCTGTTGACTGCTTGGGGACTGCATAGCACACAGGTATATTTGCTTCATTGAAGCAGAAGTAAAGTTTGGGAAAGTTACTTTTGTACTGCAACTTCCAGAATTGTCTTCTCTTCCCCGCAACCAGCATGGAGCCATGCCAGCTGGGGGATTCTGGGGGTTGTAGTGCAAAAAAACATAACTTTTCTAATTTCTGTTAGCAAAACATAGAGTCTGGCTCTAGCTTTTCTCTTCCATAGCTATGCCACTTCTGCTTTGAGTCACCCACTGGCTAGAGCAGCCTTCAGAGTTCCCATCTTTTACATCCTTGCTTTTTACAAGCAAGAATTTTGCTCTAAAGAGCAACCTGACCTTTTCTTTGGCATATGGACAGCCTCATCATAGATTAAATAAGGGATAGACAGAAATGTGATCCATCCTGTGTGTGTGTACACGCGCTGAGATCCTCTTTTGGCCTATTTAAAGATTTCAGTGGAAGAAGAGAGGTTCAAACTAGTAACTCTGAAAAATGCTGTTTTTGAGCCTTTTTTATTAAGAGAGTTGAGATTGTAGCTTCCTGTGCTACAATCCAGAAAAAGTGGGAAAGCTCTGCTTTTGCCAGTGAGTTTTGGTTTTCATAGGATCATCTGGCTTTAGGGTCTTGGGAGTTTGAGAAAAAGTAGCAATAATAAATAATAAATCCTAGAGCTTGGCAATAGAATAGAAGGCAGCTTGGAAAGAACTGGAAAGGCAAAGTCATCGAAAGGGATGAGAACTTGAGTAGCAGGGATGCTTGAGATGGGGCAGTGGAGGAGTGGAAAGACATATTGAAAGCTGCTGGAAATTAGCAAAGAGGCACGGCTATGTATGCTTAAAAGCTTGAGGAATAGATAAACTGGTACTCCAATCAACACATCTCATGGACGTGAAGCACAGGGAGGGCAAAATGAATGACTGCAGGAAGGGAGGGAGGATAAATGATCAGGAATGGCTGAACAGTCTCCTCTAGAGGAGTTATAAGCACAGTTCATTTGGAATCATAGGAAGTAGTTGCCTGCTTGCTGGGAAATATTCAGTCTGATTCCATAGCTTGTACCTATTAGGGTGTAGCTCTGCAGAGAAACTTTTGAAGGGAAAGATTATGAAATATAGTTTTGCTGTCTAGCATTTTCCTTTTACTG